GGAGGTTTTTGTCTCGTTATTGACCATGTCTAGGAATGTAGTCCAGATAGGTATATGGTCAGTGAAGGCCATCTCATCTAATAAACCTCTAGTGACATGGATAGCCAGTGAGCTGGATGCCAGAGTTACATCTATAGAAGAAGATAAAGGCCCATTTGACCAGGTCGAGTCCACAGGAGGTCCCAAGAAATGAAGATCATTGAAGCTGGCGAACTCTTCAAGATTAGCACCCTGGAAGTCCAACCTCGCACCGATGCCCCAGGTAGGAGAGTGGGCGTTAGTGTCCATACCCAGGATCACTGGAAGAGACGCCCGTCTTATCGTATCTTCCAGAAGAGGGATGAAATCATCGGCAGCTCTAAGGCCGTGCCAGTAGGCCGAGTGCACCACGATGATGCTCTGCTCTAGACATATGGCTATGGAGGTTATGGCGGTGTCTGGGGAGGTTAGAGGGATGGGATGAAGGTTGCTACATGCCACAATTCTCGAGGGGATGTAGGCGCCTGGGACAAAAAAAAAAAGAAGCCTGAAACCCACGTGTGGGCCAGAAGAAGTTAGTTGAGAGTTCTTGCAGGAGCACGATGTCGGCCTGTGTCGAATTTGCCAAATTTGCAATTTCAAGAATGACAGTTGGTGATTTTTTAGCGTTCACCTGCAGGACACGCAATGGCCTAGACATTGTTTCTTGTTCCGGCTATTCTCTCTTTTACAAAGGGACAGGTAGATAATGTGGCAAAGTGGTTGTGGGAGCTCCAGATTTTTTTTCTGCAGCGGCAGCAGCGGCTTTGGCTTGGCTCGACCGAGCATCGGATGCCCTCATGCTCTGCAGAGCCGCAGCGATAGCAGATTGGATGGGCAGCTGGACAGGCAGAAGCGCGGTGGCCGAAGCCACAGCAACGGAAGCATTGCTTTAAAGTATGACTGCGCTCATACCTGTGCACTAGACCCGCCACAGGAATACGTCCATGTTGACCGAGGATTTCGGCGACTTGGTTGTCCACTTCGATGAACACTGTACTAGTGCTGTGTGCCGCATTATTCGATCGATGGACTACCCTGATTTCACGCTTTTCCAGGAGTGACTGCACGGAGTGGTTGGAGCGGAAGCTCTTGCATATCTCATCGTCCCGCACCTCCCCGTCCACTCTGAAGAGGCAGTATCTTGGTAGGATAACCGGGCACTCGGGGCAGCTTAGGCCCGTTGGCAGGGAGGTCAGCCCAGTGGCCAGCTACTTTGCCATTTGGGTTGTTTTGGGGTGGAAAACCACCTCGCCGCTGGTGTTGATGGACGCCACCACGTGTTTTGATGACGCTAGGGAAGGATGAATCTTTTGAATTTCCCTCAAAAATTCCCTTGGGTTGCTTTGGGGTTAGCCGACCTGACGACGACATGCGATTCGAAGGAAGGAGCCAGATTCACAAATGTGGATTTCGCTTTGGGTTTCGGAGGTGCAGGTTTTACCGGCTTGTCTTTCTCTGCCACAACCGAGGCGAAAGAGGTGGAGGGAATCGGGACGTTGTCTGTGGGATTGGGTTTTCCTAGACTGGCTCCCTTGAAGGCGTCCTTAAGAAGAAGTTCTGCCTCTTGGACGAGAGTCAGTATCAGTCCTTTGGTGGCCATCTGTATTTTTTCGGGGGAGTCCAGGCTGGTGTCGGCAATGATCGCTTCGAAGGTTTGGCACTCAAAGTTGAACAAGTTCGCCGTGCTGTTGAATTTAAATTGGTGATGGGAAGACGGGAGGAGGTCTTCGTCCTCAGAACGCGGCCGCTTGTTGGCCTGCTGACTTCCTCCACCACCGCCATCATACTGGTTCAGCTCCATAAATAAAAACTATCAAAAAGCAAATCTACTCCAAAGAGAGTAAAAAAAGGCAGACCAGACAAAGAACATTATTCCGTTAACGAGATGAGGTGTGTATGGTTATTGGTTCGGCCAACAACAAATATCCAATTTATATACACATATATTTTTACATAATGAGGTTTTGAAAAATGCAAATAATCTTCATCTATTTACATGCACAACAATTTATTTTACCATCACTACAGCATAAATCACTCTTGGTGAAATTTTTTATTGCAATTCAGAATCTGCCACTGAAGCTTTACAAGCGTTTCGTACCTTTAAAGATATTCGAAGCGGTAAAGGACCCATGAGTTGCTACTCTCTAAGGCGAATGATAAAAACTTTGGAGAAGACTGGATCTCTGGAAGCAAAATCTCGGAGTGGAAGACCATCGACATGCAAGTCAGGGGTTGCTACGTTTCGCAGAATGTTGAAGCTATTGAAACGTTATCCACGTATGGAGAAGTAAGTGCTCGACAAACGGGGATTTGGTATGGAACAGTTCGGAGAGCACTAAGAATTTGTCTTAAAAAATACCCGTAAAAAAATTCAAAGACTTCACGAGCTAAAAGTCGGCGATTTTGAGAAGCGTCAAGAATTCGCTTCATGGGTTTTCCGGCAAATTGATATTGATGAAAACTGGCTGTTGAATGTTCTGTGGACAGATGAAGCTCAATTTTCTCTGAACGGAGAAGTTAACACTCAAAACAGCCGCATTTGGGCAACAGAAAACCCTAGGATTTTTACAGAAATGCCACTTCATCAGCCCAGAGTTACAGTTTGGTGTGGGTTCACTTCTTCTTTATTATTGGGCCATTTTTCTTTGAAGAAATAATGGAAGAACTTTTAAAACCGTTTCTGTAACTGGTGAACGTTATGTTCAACTTTTGAGAGAAAAGGTTATCCCCATATTGCAGGACAGACAAGCACTGAGCGAAATAACAAACTTAACGTTCGGTGAAGATCGTGTGATAAGTCGCCACTTTATACACCAGTGGCCTTCAAGATCACCAGACTTGACGCCTTGCGATTTTTGGATATGGGGGTACATTAAGTCGCGTGTTTATCGATGTCGGCCTACCACATTGGCCATGTTGAAGGTTTCTATCAGACGGAACGTTTCATCAATTTCATCAGATATTTTATTTAATGCTGTCCATTCTGTCATCTATCGTCTGCAGGCGGTGTTTAGGAATGAAGGTCGCCACATTGAACAAGGATTCTGACCTAATACAAGAGAGAAGGCAGTTACCTCATGTGTTATAAAAGCTTCCATGTATTATATTATCTACCAATGTTTTGCAGCTCTTTGTGTTGGGTTATGGGTAAATAAATTCTGTCCTCATATCTTGTCTCTTTTTTATTTGTGAAAAGTAATTTTTGTTTGTTTGTCATTTGCTCACATCTTATATTATGTCGTGCAGACCAAAGTGTTATAACTTCTCGAATAACACTGTACACACAATTTTACCCCTTATGTTTAATTTATCGCTTTTCGCTCATTAAAAGAAATAGCATAAGGAATATTCTCTGTAACCCCCCACCTTTAGAAATTTTGGGCAAAAAAAAATAATACTAAATGATTTTACTACCACGTTTTTCAACGCAAAAGGTTGATTTAAAAATTATATTTATTTGAGGGGATACATTTTAAAAAATCGTGTACAGTATAATAAACAATGATAACATTTTACAAGCCCATAGGATATTTGGAATAAAGTACGACAAATGTATTTTGTCACTCCCATCTATATTTCATTTGTTGGATCATGACAAATTTCCAGTTAAATAGTCGAGTGTCGCCAATTATTCAAGAAATTACACATTCCTTATAGCAAAAAATCCTATTAGTAGTACCATCATAATTTTTGGTACTATATTAACATTTCAAAAAATCGTGTATTGAATTCAGCTATGTTTTTCAAACATTCAATATATTTGACAAAACTCTGTCAAAAATATAAATATTTTTTGCTGCATGTTTTAATTTGCATATACCTATTTTACATATCTCAGATTGTATTTAAAAATCGTTAACCATTTCTTCTAACTTTTGGCGAAATGGTGCTTTATTAATTAACGATTTGATATTATTAGGATTCTTTCCTGGTATACAAAAAGGAAAAATACGTGTCGATCAGTTATATTTTTCAATTAATCAAACAATTTGGCCGCTGAATTTCTGATTCTGGTACAGCGCCATCTAGGGAATGAAATTGTAACTAAAATCAATTTCGAAATTTTCATTATTTGCCATAAAAAATCCCATTGCATCCTGAACACAATGGTGTTTACCGCATTGCTCTAGCGCAAATATTCGCGGAGTTATTAATTTTTAAAGTTGTGCGGGACTTTTGGATCACCCTGTATATTAATAAACAAGTTTTATTGAATTGGTATAGAAAACACATATATGAAGAAGCACTTATTTAAATATATTTCCATAAATGAATTTCTTATATCCTAGTGACAGTTTGCTCCTACTCATTGTCTTCCCTTTAGATATTTTTTGAAAGTAATATGGTGAATATTTTGTCTTTATGTTATAGTCTATATAGTAAGCACTCTAACCCTTTCTGTATTTAACCTTTTTTTTTTCAATTTATATATCTTAGAAAATGCAAAATCATTTATCCTTAAATGGTCACAAAGAAATAAACATCAATTCTAGGGATATTCAAATACATATATGTAGGAACCTTTATCACACATTCTCTAAAATGATGTAATTTAAATATTATGGTTTCTGATAAGGTAATTCCAAAATTCATGGTTTTAGGTTACCTTTTTTATATACTCCTCTCACCATTTCCTTTGTGTTATTTTGTTTAGAAATTGTTTCTCTTCATTTTATGAGTACTTAAAGAATATTGATACAAATATTGGATTATATATTATATATAAATTTCACTGTGATCAATTATGGAAACTGATTGAGGGGGGAATATGGGATGATATATAGTGCTTTCTAATACATTATAATATAATGCGGCTTGTGGTTGTAAAACGACATTTGAAAATTATCCCGTACGAGTTTCTTTTCAACGAAAAATCAAAATTTATTTTAAGGAGAAATAACGATTATTTCTAACCTAAGGGATGAGGTATGAAAATATGAATTGTGAAGAGTAATGATAAACGGAAAAATAAAAGTGTCCAGGGATGGGAATCGAACCCACACTGTATTTGCTTATCGGGCAGATGCCATGTCCACTAGGCTACCTTGTAAATATTTTTCCGTTCGTAAATATTACATAAAGTAATTTATAATACAATATAATATAGATTGTGAAACGACATTTGAAAATGATCCCGCATGAGTTTCTTTTCAACGAAAAATCAAAATTTATTTTAAGGAGAAATAACGATTATTTCTAACCTTAGGGATGAAGTATGGAAAGAGTAATGATAAACGGAAAAATAAAAGTGTCCAGGGATGGGAATCGAACCCATACTATTCCGCTTACCGGGCAGATGCCATGTCCACTAGGCTACCCTGGGCATATTTTTCCGTTCGTAAATAATTCATATGTATTTTTGTTAATTTTACACATTACATTATGTTAATAAGTTTTAATAATGACTTTTGTATTTCTTTTTTTTTTATTGATGTATAAGCAATAAATTGTTTCTTGGTGAACAAATGCCATTTGTGCTCTTTGTCTGATCAGGATGGTATAAAGACGACATGTAAGATCGTGAAGGGATTGTAGGCTGTTCAATTTCCGACCGTAAAATTCGTTCTGATGTCCACTTCCAAAAATGCAGCCCATTCCATTAGAGTTTAGTCGCTAATCAGGGTTGGTCAACTTATGGGTACCTCCGCCGTCAAGCCAATATCTTCTATCCACTGGAATGAACGCGTCGTGACACTACCAATGCGCCTTCTTGAGGACGTATTGTTGTCAGAACTTCCCTCCGCAAACTGTCTTGTCTCCCCCTATCCTCGGCAACCCCTCCCCCACCCCCGCCTTGTCGATCCCCCAGCCTTTTTTGTTCCGCCGCCAGTCTTTTCAATCATGCCGACGGGAGCCAGTAGCACTTCTTTATTTATCCATTTCTCACCACTCACGACGTTCTCTGCTCTAAAAGTATTAGGAAATATAACGTTGTATTTAAAGAGAGGGAATATCTAAGGAAAATAAACTATACTAATTCTACAAGTAAAAAAAGAATCTAATAAGAACTCAGAATAACAGGCCCAATAAAAATAGGCAACTCAAATTCAGTGGGGGGACACATAGAAGAACAAATTTGGTCGAACTATCAAATATTTAATTTCATAAAATAATATACGGGATTCGGTATCCAGAAATATTTGAAACAGACTGAGTCAAACAATTGAAACATCAGTCATATAACTTCGGTTCATGCAGATATCTCTCAAGACAAAGATCACTCTAAAAAGCCTTTGTTAGTAAAAGATTAAATCTTCTTTGATTGATAAGAACAAATTAAATTAAAGCTATAAACTCATTTAAATATGGGGAAAAAGATAAGATCGCTTAATTCATCAGTACTTGAACACACGCACCTTTTCAACTTCTTCATTTAATTAATCTCCAGATATTTTTGGCGAGAGAAATGTCGCCACCGATCACCCAGCAAGTACTTGGATTGCTCTACCTCCCAATACAGCAAGGCTATAGAAGAGTTCATTTCATTTATAAGCGAAAATTCATTTCCGAACGAGTTTAATGAAGTTTTTTCATCGTTACTGTTCTCTTATTATTTATTTTTCTTTTTAATTTACTTATATATTATATTTATATTTAATCAACGCAATCTATTCTAAAATATTAAAGAATATATAAAATATGAATTTAAAAAATAATAATAATAATTGCTTGAAACTATTTCAAATCATATTTCGAAAAGTTGTAGAGGAGGGTATATATATTTGTTTCTATTATTTTCTGAGAAAATATAATTGAATAAATTTATTAAAATAGTATAAATCGTTAAATATATATATTTTTAATCTTTAACATGATTCTACAATATATATTTCATTATAGTGATATCAAAGATAAGTATAAAATTCTTCAGATTGGAGTTTTAAACGCTGTAAAATAATCATAGAAAGATTCGCTATAAATTCAAGTTTTGATATATGTTATTCCAATATAAAAAGGTTTAGTGAAAGCCAAAATATCCTTTATCAAATAAGATGGGGGGAAACGAAAGATGGGTTTAAAAAAAGACAAATATCAACAAATTGATCTCATTCTTAAACCTTATTATTTTTAAAGCCACTTCCTTCTCTAAATTTAATTAATGGTTTGTAAGAAACTTTTTATTTTATTTTTTACCTTTATTGATTTTCTTTCAAATTGGGCAATGCAATGGAAATGGGAGGTTTTTTTTTTGTGACGAAAGCAAGCAAATATGTAGCTGAAATTTCTTTGTATTGATTCACTGTTGTGGTTTTTCTAATCGGAATTTCTTATTTAAATATTTGCTTGGAAGGAATTAACTTAAATATCTTCTCCTACAACTTCGCTTTTTATTTATTTCAATATATTTTTATCTAATGCTCTTTTTATAAAAGGTATGTACAATAATATCGTTATTCATTATATTAATTGATCTTTCAAAATGCTACAAATGTAGCGCTTTTAATTATTATTATAATTAATATATATAATATTATATATTTTGTATCATTCTTTATAAAAAGGTTTGTCCTTTTTTTCAGAATAAAATGCGTAAAATTTATTGATGAATATTTTATGTCAATTATTGTGTCGCATCTAGAAGAAAAAATATCATTTCACAAATTAACATTCAGCCTTTTTTTAAGTAACATAATTATGAGAAGGTTGAGAAATCTCAAAATTATTGTAAGGTGTTTTTTTATATATAATCAGAAGGGAAGTTTTCTATTAGGTACTCATATATATCTGGGTAATAATCATCACTATGAGTGAAAATTAGGCGAAAAAAAAAAAGACTTGAACTAACATAACCCAAACTCCCCAGCTTACTATATTTCTATATTCCTAAAATTATTTATCATTGTCCCAACCTCCCTAGCTTCCCACCTGAGTTAAATAAAAATGACCATTATTCCAACCTCACAAGGTTACCACCTTTCTAAAAAAAATTATCATTGTCCTAACCTTACTCAATTTCCCTAGCTGATCACCTTTGTAAAATAAAAATGAACTTTGACTCAACCTTTCTAGCTTACAAACTTTGTAAAATAAAAGTGACAATATATATGTCCCAACATTACCCAACCTATATAGGTTACCACCTTTGTAATGTAAAAATGATATTTGTCCTAACATACCTCAATCTCCCTAGCTTACAACCTTTCTAAAATAACCTTTGTCGCAACATCAACCAACCTTTCTAGGTGACCACTATTCTAAAAAAGAGTATCATTGTCAAAACCTCACCCAAATTCCCTAAATTACCAATTTGTAAAATAAAAATGCCTGTATCCCAACATTACCCAACCTCACATGAGAGAAGACCATTTCCAGGTAATAGAATATATTCAAGGCTTCTCAAGACACACACACAGCCACTCACACACTTTCTCTCTCTCTCGCTCTAAATATATTCTACTCTAGATGGACCCGTTAATAAAGAAAATAAAATAAACGTTATTAAAAATAATTTAAAAAGTATATACAAGTATAACAATTAAAAATAAATAATGCAGGCTGGATGCATATAAAACATGCTACCCACTATAGAGTGGATTATTAGAATGACGTCACACTTGTTATGTTCCTTAATAGGGTAAAACATTTGTTGGCGAATCTCGAATATCGATAAGTTTTGTCTCGATGCTCCAAGGTGGTGATTTCATGAACAACTCTCATGAGTCATCGATCCACAAATTCTTAACTTCTTAATGGCTTTACATTTTAACCGAGTCACATTTCACTTGTAGAAATTGCTTTATATGATATATGATGATACCATCTAAATGAATAAATTGAATATCAGATAATGAATTTTTATAAATGTCGTTTCAGTAAACAAAAAATAAAGACGTTATGAGTATTTAAGTTCGGAATTTGCTCTTTTCGAGGACATTGCTATTAAAATCCTCTCAAATCCTAAAGCACTTCAGTTAAAACGGTGTAATATGAATGTGTTGAACTTCGTATTCTTACGAAGAGCTTTGACATTAAACAAATATAAATCATGAACATAACTTTAATAAGAGTCGCAATAAAATTCCATTACAATAATTTCAAAAATCATAAATAATAAGATACCTTATATAATGTAAAAAACGTGAAAAATATTTTCTCTATAATATTCAGAAATTCTGTATGTTAGAGAAGGAGCATTTTAAATATAAAATATAGAACGAGACTCAACAAACTTCAAAATTTTAAAAAAATATCTGAACTTTTGTTTGACTTCTCCAACTCTGTCTTATTTACCTTTGCATATTGCTATTTAGAAAATCCTCTACGAGAGTTCTTTTTAAACGGCTATATAGCTTTATATATTTGTCTCACTGAAAAAGTTCTATTAACTTATAATTTACATATTCTGTTTGATATAAACTTTCTGTTATTCATGGTAAACGGATTGCGGATTTCGACAATTTAGAAGGAGGGGATCATATATCGCCGCAAACGATATATAATCTCTCTCTCGTTTGCCTTGTTTGTACACTATAGTTAGCTGAAGAAGGGCTTGCCCGAGAGCTTCCTTTAATCCCGTCAATAAAAAGAGTTGCGGCAATATATGATCCCCTCCTTCTAAACTTTCTGTTAGATAAATTAGACCCTCCAAAGTGAGATAATATAGAGAATAAACACTCCATGGTTTATTCTGCTTGTTCAGCGGAGATTGGATTGAAAATTAAAGTCAAGTAATCATTATATTTACCAAAATGATCGGTTTGAGGGGGTCCGCCTGCCAAATAGGTCGCTCATTGGAGTTTTTCCATAGAGGTTGTATGAAATATTCTTCAATAAATAATAACGCAGTGTTCTCACTTGATTATTTAAACTTTTGCCTCAGCAACTGTTATCTCATTCAAAACTGGCGATGTGTTATATAATATTTGTACTTATTTCGTTATTGTTCTCTATTTAGTTTATTTTTAGTTTGTTTATTAATTTATATTTATAATTGATTTTTTTAAATGAACCTTTTAACGCGAACTTCTAGTTTCAATCGAATTATAATTTAGCTGAAATTGCGCCGCGCAACAAGAAACAGTTCTCTTGCAAAAGAGAAGGGTTCTTGAA